CCCCCCCCCCCCCCCCCCCCCCCCCCCCCCAACCCATTTCTCACCAACATAGAGGTTACTCTTAAAATCCTTGGGGCTGGGCACAAAATTGAGTAATTTGCAATTGATGTTCAAGTACTTGAAGTTGATCATATATATTTCAAGCCAATTTACTTAAAGGATCCCCGTACCACTGCCAAATACTAAATATGCACTGAAAACCGATTTTGCCTGTAGATTTAAGCTATGATCACTCATTTTCAGAAAAGAAATTAATACCTTGCAGCAATTAAACACGAACATAATTAACAATGATGTTCTGATAATAAAATTTTAGTGGGAATAGACCAGATGTGAACCCTAAACTTCAGATTTGTATAATATCGCTCTTTATTAGTTCTAACCAACTGATCATAAACGGCCTGGTATACAGAAGTGTCCTGGCCAGCTGGCTGTGCTACAGATCCAAAACAGGTGGTCGGGTGGTGCACTTGCCTTTCACTAAGGCGGCCGGGGTTTGATTCCCCGATCGGACGTGAAAAGGTATGGGGTCACCTACCCGACCACATGGATTTTCTCAGGGTACTCCAGTTTCCTCCCACAGTAAGACCCCCGCGCGTTTACATCCAGGCCAACAAGAGTGATTAGTATAAGTTGTAAAAACTTGTTTCATAATTATTGTACAGTTAGTATTTATATCCAAAACAAAATTTGCTTATTGAAAAGAAGTCGCTTGAAGATTTTACGACATTTGACCCTGTGACCTTCAAAGTTGGTCAAGTTCATTCAGTTGAACAAACTTGATAGTCCTTCATCCCAGCATGCTACAGGCCCAATATCAGTACCCTTGGCCTTTTGGTTGTTTAGAAGAAGTCGCTTGAAGACTTTACAACATTTGACCCCTATGACCTCGAAAGTTGGTCAAGGTCATTCATTTGAATAAACTTGATAGTCCTTTATCCCAGCATGCTACAGGCCCAATATCAGTACCCTGGGCCTTTTGGTTATTGAGAAGAAGTTTTTTGAAGATTTTAGAGACGTTCAGCTGACACCAGTGACCTTGAAAGTCGGTCAAGGTCATTCATTTGAACAAACTTGGAAGCCCTTCATCCCAGCATGCTACAGGCCCAATATCAGTACCCTGGGCCTTTGGGTTATTGAGAAGAAGTCGCTTGAAGATTTTAAAGACATCTGATCCGAATGACCTTAAAAGTTGGTCAAGGTCATTCATTTGAACAAACTTGGAAGCCCTTCATCCCAGCATGCTACAGGCCCAATATCAGTGCCCTGGGCCTTTGGGTTATTGAGAAGAAGTCGCGTGAAGATTTTAAAGACATCTGATCCGAATGACCTTAAAAGTTGGTAAAGGTCATTCATTTGAACAAACTTGGTAGCCCTCCATCCCAGCATGCTACAGGCTTAATATCAGTACCCTGGGCCTTTTGGTTATTGAGAAGAAGTTTTTTGAAGATTTTAGAGACGTTCAGCTGACACCAGTGACCTTGAAAGTCGGTCAAGGTCATTCATTTGAACAAACTTGGTAGCCATTCATCCCTGCATGCAACAGGTCTAATATCAGTACCCTGGGCCATTTGGTTATTGAGAAGAAGTTGTTTGAAGATTTTAAAGACATCTGACACCAATGACCTTGAAAGTGGGTCAAGGTCATTCATTTGAACAAACTTGGTAGCCCTTCATCCCAGTATGCTACAGGTCCAATATCAGTACACTGGGTCTTTTGGTTATAGAGAAGAAATTGTTTGAAGATTTTAACATATTTGACCCCTGTGACCTTGAAAATTGGTCAAGGTCATTTATTTGAACAAACTTGTTAGCCCTTGATCCCAGCATGCTACATGCCAAATATCATCTACCTAGGCCTTTTGGTTATTGAGAAGAAGTTGTTTAAAGCAAAAAGTTGACGCCGGACAGACGGACGGACGGACGACGAATGCTGCACCATAACATAAGCTCACTTGCCCTTCGGGCAGGTGAGCTAATAATATTGACTTATCACATCTGTTTTAGCCTAGTTGTTTCAGTGGCAACAAGACAAAGGTGTTGCTTTTCAGGCGACGGCGGCATCAACATTAAATTGTTTCGTTTCAGTTAGTTTTACTAAAAGTATAAGTGCTACACCAACCACACTTGGACCATAGATGCATCTTAGGTAGTACATCTCAACCCATGCATCAAATGCTGGATGCGACCTACCTTTCATGGTCCATTGATTTTGTCAGCATCTGCATCAATATTCAGTTTTTGCATTTAAGTTAGTTTTTTCTGAAACTAAAAGTGCTACACCATCCAGTCTGGGACCAGTCAGGCAAGAGACATATCATTTCAAATGTCGTCTATATTGAGTTCATTACACCTGTATATGCATTGATGGTCAAAGCCGGCACACAGGCAAGACATATCTATCGGAATGGCTTGTTATTGATCTTCCGCCTCCTACATTGGCGTTCAACTTCGCCTCATGCCAATATAGCAAGTCTTGGACTTATAACTCAGCCAATACAGAAATAATGAGAATATTTTGCCATGGTTGCATAAAAATCCAGGTGAGCAATCAATGTCGTCCTGTTTAATAATTAATTGTGCTACATTTGATAAAATAAAATGAAGATTTTATGGTCGATAACTATTTCTAACCCTTAAAAAAATATTCTGTTTTAGGAAGTGTCTTTTAATGATCGAAAACATTTCCTGGACCAAATAAAGCATCATTTGCATAATGCAATGTTATATTATGACGAGGTGAGTACTGATTGTATCACATTAGCTGTTCTGTTTGTAAAGATGTTTCAGATTTCTTTGATATTTAGTATGTCAAGTTATTGAAGTTGTTTGTTTATGATTGGCAGCAGGCCCTTTGGACCTAGGATATTTCTCATTTTTTCTTCAGTATTGGAATGAAGAGCACTTTTTGCTAGAGGAAGCTGTCTGTTTTCAGCTGTTAAAAAAATCACTGCAGTCTTATATTAGTAAAAGTAGCCATGTTTGGCATATGTATACTGTATACCAGGAAATTTGGCTGATGTTTAACTTTCGCCATTTTTGCTCTCTGTCATAAGGTAAAAATTTATCATTACAGCGAACATTAGTAAACAAAACAATACGTATAATAATGTGATATGAAGGGTGATATGAAGACTTGGTGAATTTGAATTTTAAGAGCGAATGGCGAAAATTTGACTTTTTTATCACATCACAATTAACACATACTATTGAACACCAGGTTATCTTCCCCATGGGGTTGAAAAGCTATTCTTTCTTGGCTGAAACAGGAAACACCTAGGGAAGGATGGGAGAAATGTATGTCATAGTTCTGGTTTATTACTTGCTGTGAGAGTAAGTGGGGAAGATTAGAGTAAGGAAATTAAATCTTGATTTTGGTTACAGAGGTAAACATTACTTTTTTTCATGATAGGGGCTGTTGTCAGACGATAGGGCCCTTGCCAATGCCCTTTGGAACATTCTCTTCGAAAGAAGTGATGTAAGCGCAAGATCAATGGAAACCATCGTGATGTATGTCAGAGCACAGGTAAATATGTCCGAGTCCAGGTAAATATGTCAGAACACAGGTAAATCTGTTAGAACATAGGTAAATATGTCAGAACACAGGTAAATATGTCAAGAGCACAGGTAAATATGTTGTACACAGGTAAATATGTGAGAGCACAGGTAAAGATGTCCGAGCACAGGTAAATATGTCAGAACACAGGTAAATATGTCAGAACACAGGTAAATATGTTAGAACACAGGTAAATATGTCGTACATAGGTAAATATGTCAGAGCACAGGTTCATATGTCAGAGCCCAGGTAAATATGTTAGAACACAGGTAAATATGTCAGAACACAGGTAAATATGTCAGAGCACCGGTAAATATGTCAGAGCACAGGTAAATATATCAAAGCATTGGTTCATATGTCAGAGCACAGGTAAATTTGTCAGAATGCAAGTAAATATGTCAGAGCACAGGTAAATATGTCAGAACAGAGGTAAATAAGTCAAAGCACAGGTAATTACGTCTGAAAATAGATAAATACTGTTATGCAAAGAATAAAGTTATTTCAGGAGACAGGTACATTTAATAGACTAATAGCCAGGAGGCAGAAAAATACCCTTTTTTTCATGCGATTTGTTAATACAGCCATTTCAGGTGACGAGTTAATATTTTCTTTGGTTTCATAATTTTATTCTGTTGTTTCACATCTCTTTCCTGTGGTTTACATTCCATTTACAGATGTTTCATATCGTTTTCCTGTTGGTTTATGTTTTGCTGCTCCTCGTTTCAGATTTTATTTCTGGACAAGATTGACAGCATGCTATTACTTTCAAAAGGGTGCGTTCCATTTAGGACCCTGAATGGACAGGAAGTGAACAACAAGAAAGAAAAACTTACAATGATGCTTCAACAACATATCGTGCCAAAATAACCAACCAGTAACTGTAAAGCTAAAATCTGATTCATGTGAATGTTTGGAATCTCCACCTGCTCGGAATGACATTTATTCCTTACAGAGCACCACATTTGTATATGTAACAATGCTTGGAAGAGGACTGTGAGATTTGCTTCATCAAATGTGGAATGTGTCCAGATGAGCGAAGTCCCATAGCATTTAACTTATTGTGTCTTTCACTCACATTCATGCACAGAATATGTATAGATACTCTTGGATAGCAACAAGCGAACATGTTTTCTTCAAAGGAAAAATCATTGCCTCTGTATGTCAGAAGATATGCTGAAAAGATCAAAACAAACAAAATGCATATACCAGTTTATTATAGCTTTTGAGTTTTTATTTTATTTTTCAGTAATTTTGTGAAATTTGTATTTAGAGTGCCACCGCCGAGATACAGTTGCCCTAGTAATATCAGTGTCTGGTCATCTGTCTGTCTCGAACTTGGGATAAGAGGGATCTTTTGATAGTACAGTGGACTCTATAAACTGGCCACCACTCGCACCATAGTATTTTGTCAGGTTTTAGAGAGTTAGTGTTATGGATTGTAGGATCTGCTTTAATATCATTTCTGATTGAAATTAGAACCAGAAGTACCTATAGGAGTGCTCTATTTGGTTCATGTATACAAAATATTTGTACTGATGTCTATTGATCAATAACACTACAATAATTTACTGATTTCACTTGCAGTAATGATAAGAATAAATTTTATTCCTGTAACAGGAGAAAGAGAAATGCACAGTCATACTCAGATTTCAACCTAAAACCCTACTCTAGATAGAGGCTCTACCATTTGAGCTACAATGTACCTGGTTCAGCCATGATCTACCCAGCCCAGTTCTGCTACATTCCTCCCTGCTTTTTATATGTATTTGTCCCGAAAGACACCACTGTGTACAACCCAGATTCGGATTTCCCCTTGCCAAGTATTCATCCAGTTCTTGAAACAAGGGTTGGCAAGTTCACCAATTTTGTAACAGAATTACTTTTTTCTAAACATACAAACGTACAAACTGCACAGCCAGACCAGGATCAAAACCTGGGATCCTCCCAACTCTAAAAGGACGCTCCATCAGTTGAGCTACCTGGTTAATTGACGACGATCGACCCAGTCAACAATTAACTTTTCCTTTTTAGTAGTTAAGATTGTATAAACACCTGCATTAGACAAGAACATTGGGTCTGACACTGGCTTACAGAGAGTAGATTTACTAGTGGATATTTGTATTATTTGCACTGTACTGATCAACTGCAAGTTTAAATGAGGTAATGAATGAACCTATATAGAAGGCATGTAAGAGACCAGGACACAGGGCTGGTTTACTGAATCGACAGAGTCTGGATTAGCCGGTTTACTTACTTATTAGCTCACCTGGTCCGAAGGACCAAGGTGAGCTTATGTCATACCGTGGCGTCCGTCGTACGTCCGTACGTCAACAATTTCTTTAAACGTCTTCTTCTTCTTAACCACTGGTTGGAATTAAACTAAATTTGACTGGAAGCATCCCTAGGTGGTGGGGATTCCAAAAATTGTACAAATAATGGGGCTGACCCCCCAGGGGGCTGACGGGCGGGGCCAAAAGGGGGACAATTTGCTCATATTGCTTTAAGTGACTTCTTCTCTGGAACTAAGAAGTGGATATCAACCATATTTGACTGGAAGCATCCCTAGGTGGTAGTGATTAAAAATTGTACAAATGGTGGGACTGACTCCCCAGGGGGCTTATGGGCGGGGCCAAACGGGGGCAATTTGCTCATATTGCTTTAAGCGACTTCTTCTCTGGAACTAAGAAGTGGATATCAACCATATTTGACTGGAAGCATCCCTAGGTGGTAGTGATTAAAAATTGTACAAATGGTGGG